ACCCCTAAACCCATAAACCCTAAAACGAGAGTTGGGAGGCGACAGCTGACAGCGCCTTCTGGTGCCTCGTCTGCCGCAAGCGCTGCGTCCACCTTGGGAGAGGCCAGGGTTGGTTTAGGGTTTAGGATAACTATAGGGCTTCCCCGTAGCCCAAAAAAAGCCCAACCTCCTTGATGAATTCCATGAAGCAGCCCTTTAAAACGTAGGTGTTTCGGACCATAGGAAGGGCTTGCACCTCTTGGGCCGAGGAATTGGAGCGTAGGTTCTGTAAGGTTTAGGGTTTAGGGTTTCGGGTTTCGGGTTTCGGGTTTAGGCTTTCGAGGTTAGTGCAAGTAGGGTAAGGGAATCACTCTTGAGGTATGCACTATCCCTGAAGCTCAAAGTAGGCATGGTCTAAAAGCCTCGAAAGTCCTGAGCGCTCTTAGCGTCGGCGAAGCATAACCAGATCCCCTAAACCCTAAACCCCTAAACCCTAAACCCTAAACACAAGTTCGGGCTTCCGCAGATTGTTCTACCGAGCATCCTACTCAGGCACCCCTTGTCCTTACGGGACGCCCAAAGAGCTTAGGGTTTCGGGATATGGGGCAGCAGGGGCTTACCTCAACCCCCAGCAACTTTACCTTTCAAGGGCTTCTGATATCATATTTGGGAACTCTGAAAGGTACACCGTTGCCTTTGGAAGCGCTTTTGATCTTACACAAGGAACTCCTGCTAATAGGAGCCCTAAAGGTAGGTACCTTAGAGCCCGGAGCTTCTGATCGAGGGTTCAAGGATGCTTTAGGTGTAGCGGTGTTTAGGTCTAGGGATGCTGTAGGTTTAGGGATGTTTAAGGTTTAGGGATGTTTGGGGTTCAGGGGCGGTTTAGGGTTTAGGGATGTTGAGGATATATAGGGGTGTTTGGGGTTTAGGGATGTTCAGGGCTTGGGCTGTGGTTGGGGGCTTCGGGGTCTATCGAGACCCGCAATTTCTGCTATCAAATCTCTTGGGAAACGTCCTGAGGGCATCCTGGAAAGCATGGGAAAAGGCCTAATTAACCCTAAACCCCAAACCTATATCCTCAAATCTTCCACTCTTCAAAGCTATACTCTAAACCCTCAACCCTTAGGGAAGCCTCTCAGTGGTGAGGACCAGGACGCCTCGGCGACAGTCGCTTGCCCAATGAGGTGCAAGGCACCTGCAAGCTCAAAGAGACTCATGACTTGATGTTAAAACCCCAAACCCTAAACACTGAAACCTAAAACCTAAACCCCTAAACCCAAACCCCAAACCCCAAACCCTAAACCCTATTTAAACCTAAACCCTAAACCCCTAAAGCCCCAAACCCTAAACCCTACCCCTAAA